AAGCCTTCCCTGGTTATCTTCACTCTGTAACAAGCTCTTTTTCCTCTGTGTTCCACCACCATCATAATCTTTAAATTCTTTTAAACTACATAGCATGAGACTCTTTTCTCAAAAATAAACAAATAAATAAATAAAATGCTACTTTTCACCCCTCTTCAGAGCCAATTCTAACTACTTATCAGTCATTTTCCCTCAGACATCCTAATTCATGCTTCAATAAGCAAAAAAATTCTTTGTATGGGGTGGCACCTGTGGCTCAAAGGAGTAGGGCGCCGGCCCCATATGCCCAAAGTGCCGGGTTCAAACCCAGCCCCAGCCAAAAACTGCAAAAAAAAAAAAAAATTCTTTGTATGATAACCACGGCTCCTTTTCTGATTTCTCTAATTCCACTCTTCATTATTCTTACTGCCCAGACTTAGAATTATTCTTACCTATTCTTAGCTTATATCCCTCACATTTGTTGCCCCTTTTCTATCCAACTCACTGCATTTGCCACTCTTTCTTGAATGCCCATCCTCTCTGGGTATCTTAATACCATCTACTTTTCAAACTTCCCATAAAGATCTACCTCTTCTGTGAAGCCTTCCCTGGTTATCTTCACTCTGTAACAAGCTCTTTTTCCTCTGTGTTCCACCACCATCACAATCTTTAAATTCTTTTAAACTACATTCATTGACCTTTTTTGGTATTAAGTCTCACCTCTTCAACTACATGTAAATTTCTCAAAGATAAGAATTTTGTCTATTACTCTGTATTTCCTCACTATGCCAACCTATAATCCTAAAGAATATCTGCTGAGTAACTTGAATAAAACTCTGTAACAGAATACTGTTACTTCCTCTGTTCAATGGATACTGTTTCAAGAATATCACAAATAATTTCATAGGTAGAAAGTCAGTAAATTTATAGGTGAATAAATCAAAAGGCTAGAAAAGCCATGATCTTAAAAAATATTTTTATTTGGTGGGTGGTGCCTGTGGCTCAGAGAGTAGGGCGCTGGCCCCATATACCGGAGGTGGCGGGTTCAAACCCAGCTCCAGCCAAAAAAAAAAATAATAACAATATTTTTATTTGGGTGGCGCTTGTGGCTCAAGGAGTAGGGCACCGGCTCCATATACCCGAAGTGGTGGGTTCAAACCTCGCCCGGCCCAAAACTGCAACAACAAAAATATTTTGATTCAACCTTTCTACCTTGAAAGGTATGATCCTTGTATGACTTACATACAAGAAAGGGATACAGGCTCAGCGCCTGTGGCTCAAGTGGCTAAGGCACCAGCCACATACACCTAAGGTGGTGGGTTTGAATTCAGCCTTGGCCTGCCAAACAACGATGGCTGCAACCAAAAAAAGCCAGGCGTTGTGGCGGGTGCCTGTGGTCCCAGCTACTTGGGAGGCAGAGGCAGGAGACTCGCT